AAAAAAAAAAAAAAAAAAAAAAAAAAAAGAAAAATAGACAAGGGACATGAACAGAAAATTCAGAGTACAGTGAATAACATGAAAAACAGCTTTATCTCACTATAATCAAAGAAATATAAATTGAAACAATATTAAATTAATAATTTGGATATCCATATGTCAAAAGTGAAAAAGAAAGATAATATCCAGTGTTTACAAGTGGAAGGGAAGTGGTTTCACTTTTTGCAGCTCAATACACACAAACTGCCTCTCATTCTTATTCAACTTTGCATTTCTTTGCCTAGAAAAAAATTTAAAGCTGTTGATGTGATTTTAACACATTAATTCCAATTCTAACATTCTATGTTAAGGAGTCAAAGATGAGAAAGTAAATTATATACATTCATTACAGCTCTATGTACATTAACAAAAATTGTGTCTAGAGGAACCTAAATAACCAGAAAAAAGAAAATCAGTTGAATAGATTAAGGGATGTTTATTACTTGGAGCAACAAAAGTGGTTATAAGTAAACAGTTGTAATGACAGTAGAAAATCCTCATGACATGCATATGCATGTATATATATTATACATATATAATATGTATTCTCAATCACTTAAAATCTAACTGGTATACACGTATACAAAGATGAAAGAAATTCACACATATGCAACAGTGATGGTACTACTGGTGATTATTTCCTTTTTATTTAACTGTAACATAGCCTTATAATGAATATGTATAAATTCTATAATAAAAAAAATTCCAATAAATATTATGAAGAAATCAGAAAAGAAAACATGTAGGCACCCTGTGTTGGAGCCCTGACAAGAAAGCCTGAACACAGACCCCAGTCCTTCACAGTCCCACACACAGAGGCTGCTGTGGCAGATCCTGGGAGGGAGGCAGGGGTGTGCACCTCCTAGAATAAGCCTTAACTCAAAGCATGACTAGTTATTGTCAGCACAACATGCAAGCAGTAAACTAAAATGCATCTCTTCTTTTCCTCTGTAGTGCTGAGGATTGAATTTAGAACCTCATACGGCTAGGCAAGTGCTCTGCCACTGAGCTCACCCCTAGTCCTTGTAAGGCAAAAGTGAAATACAGTTAGGTATTATTTGACTCAACAAGTAAAAACACGCTCTTCTGCAAAAGGATCATTATCGAATATAATAATTTTTCTAAAAATACGAATTTCACAGTCTGCCTTGGAGCCAGTGGACTATGGACTAATGTCCTCTACAAACTATGAGACAAAATAAACCTCTTCTCCTCTCCCTTGCAGGTATTGAGTATTTCATCCTAGTGATGAAGGTAACTAAGACATCAACTAAAGATGTTCACCTCCAAATTTCAGTGCCCTCTGATAAGGAGATTCTGTTACTAACATTAACAGTGAGGGTTGTGGTGGTGTTTGTAACACAGTCAAAAACTCTGACAAACTTCTAATACTTGAATAAAATCCAGATGATATTTTTAAGTATCTCTACCCATCACACTAGAAAACATGAGTGAATAAGTAAATGTAAGAAGAACCCTGAGAAGCTTTCTTCTGGAAAAAGCAGTGCCTAAGTATCAAGCAGATTTGAGTTTTGTTCTTCTTTGATCTTTGAGTTTTTAGTTATATATTTTACATAATAATTGTTCGCATTATAAGTGATAGCCAAGGGTTCCGATGCTTACTCGCTATGTGAAGTAGTGATCATAACACTGAATTCTCCAGCATCCTTGGTCTTTTTTCTTATCTCACAGACAATGAAACAGACTGGCATATAGTGGGAGAGACAATTTGAACCCAGTGTTCTGTTTTGCTTTGTTTATCTTGGACATCTTTTTAATGCTGTCTTTAGGTGGCACCTGTCATGGCTACAGAAGGATCTTTTTGGCCTTTGGTAAAAATTAGATGAAATTTATTATTTAGTTTTACAGCCATTTCCATAAGAATGAGTACTAGGATACTTCGTTAAAATATCAGTTCTCCACAGTTTTATATTGTCAATGAGTTCAAAGTTTGATAGGCATTATTGACATTTAACCCTCTACTCAATTTATTGGGGGGGCAACTAATTAAAAAACTTATTTTTTAAATGAGAACATTTTTCAAATGAGAAGCACAGCAAAGGTAAGTGATCAGCTTATGACACACAGCTAGTAAAACGGCATTAACAAAAGGTGGGCCTCCTTCAGTTCACATCCACTGAACTGGGGGACTGGGCATCACACCAATGGCCAAACTTTAGACTTCAAATCCTGAGTGTGGCTGCTAACAATTGAGGGCCAGGGGCCACATTTAAAGCTCTGCACAGCTCATGTCACTCACACCACTGAGGCACTTCCCCCAATGAAGGAATGAGGCAGCAAGCAGCAGCCTGACCTTTCTGCTCAGTTCCTTGGTTATGCTTTGGGACATCTCTGTCTCCCTTAGTGTGTACTAGAATTGGCTAGAGAACAGTCCTTGACTCAAACAACTGAAAAATATACTTAACACTGCATTGATTTTTCCATATAATTTTATAAGCACAAACATTCTCTTTCATTTCCTGACAAACAACTATATTCCCCAAAGTGTCCAATAAAAATCAGTAGTTTGCACATCACTGTCTTTGCCAGTGGCTGTTGTTCTGAGTTAGTCACTAAGGCCAAGGTCTTTCCCCAGGTGCTTCCACAGGCTTCCGTCCCATCCCAAACAAACTGTAAAGTTGAATGGAAAGGAGAAAGTGGCTATATAGACCTTCCTGGTGCTGTGTTCAAGCCCACTGTGGAAAAAATACACATTTTCAAACAGTTCTTCATGGAAAAAGAAACCAGGGGCAGAAAGGAAAGGCTACCTTAAACACAATGCTGCCTCTACACTCCTGAGATCCACGTCACAGCCTGCGCCGGGCAACCTCCACCTGCTCACCCCAGCCATGAGCATGAGCAAAGGCAGCTCCTCCTATTCCTGTGACAAGCTAAGATGCTTGATAAATATCTGAGGCCAATGGACACAGGTCTCCAGGAGCAGGTATTACTAGAAAGTTGCATCATTAAGACCAGCAATGACAACAGTGAAAATCATAAGTGGTAAGTCCTGGTTCCTAAGACGCTCCACTGAGCCATCTCCCGCTGGCACCAGAACATAGCAGGGTACTCCTCAGCAGAAGCCATTCCTCAATTCCAGTACAGCCTTTTCTCCCAGCCTGTCTCTCCTCTCTAAAACAGCTCCCCAGGCTGACAGGTGGCAGCAGAGAAATAGAGAAAGGTGTGGATTCTCACCCAGAAGTCGGTCTGCTGGTGTCCTGGAGAAGGGCAATCCTCAGGAGAGAGGGTGCTGGGGGTTGCCAAGGGAACCTGAAATAATGGTTTGCCACACTCCGGAATTGGCTCCCAGAACTGAAAGGGGAGAAAGTGTCAGTCATTCCAAACCCTCTGTGGTTCAGAATCTGACGTGGTGGGAAAAAAGCAAAGAAAAGCACTGCTGAGCTTCAAGCAAGCAGTGATGCTAAGGATCAGTGCTCTTCTGCAAGAAATGCTACAGCTCTTTCTGTCTGGACCGTGGCAGATGTGCTGGTTGAAGCAGGAAGTGTATATCCTTGCTTCGTGTTTAGGTGATGTTGTTTTTTCCTCCCTTCTTCCCTGAGCCCTGGCACTGGGGAATGTGGAATGGCTCAACCTGTTGTAATCCAACATGTGGGTTGCTGCTTGTTGCAAAGATATTGCAGCAGCCTCTTCATTACAGGAGGCTGTTCCTGGATGCTAAGAATTAATTTCCTTTTCTCTGGTTGCTTGCTTGTGCTTTGGGTTGAGGGAGGAATGAGTGCTGGGTGTGAGTACAAGGAGTATGGCAAAAGGAACACTTGGCAGAAAGAGGCTAACTGTGCCTGGAGCCTCTGTGGAGTAGTGACCCCCTTAGTTCCCACTTGCTGGGGACAGTGGACTTCCGAAAGGACTCTCAGCAAAAATGCTCTCTTTGCAAGGGTGGACTTTAACCCTTAATTCTATCCCAGACCTATACCTCCAGTGTGAGTACTGATTTTGGCATCTTAGGCTTTCTGATCACAGGGGACACTCAGTTGGTGGAATAATCCAGGGGAAATAGGAAACTCATTTGTTGGCTAATTCACTCATTCATTCTTGCATGCATGCACTTATCTGCCTCTTCATGGATTTGCTCATTTGTTCTTGCTTTAATTTATATATCAATTTATTCTTTCACTCTGATATATTCATTGGCTATTCAATATTCACTCATTAAAGTACATATTTACTGACTCACAAATGCACACATTCATTTATATAACTGCTTGTTAACATATTTATTAACTTATTAATTCATTCATATAGTCCATGCACTTGATAAACATATTTGCATTCATTTTTGTATATGTGCAACATTCATGTTTTCTTACGTGGGATAGTTCTTATATCTGTCCATCTATTTGATTATTTCCAAATTCATGTATTCATAGATATCTTACCCAATAATTTATGTTTATTTATGCATACACTCATTTAATTCTTTTGTTTAAGACACATCCTTGGCCTCACCACGTACTTGGCAGAAGAAGAATGAGGTACCCTCCTTACCTGAAACAACTGGGGACAGAAGACATAGCTACAAGGCTCCAGACTGTTCCACAAAGGTGAAAGTAAGAGATACCATACAAGGGGGCAGAAGGAGGTGATGAGAAGTTGCAGGGAGAGCAGAGGGACCCCTAGCAAAAGAGCACTGTGCTTGGATTCATTCTCACAGACCAGTGGCTTTAAACCTTGCTCTCCACTCAATGTAGATTTGCACTAGTTAATTACGTTCAACAAGTTCCTGTTTCTTTATCTGTAAAATGGGAGGAATCATGGTTAAGGCTCAGGGTGGTGGGGAAGACTAAGCAGGGAGGTCATTGATGTCTGGAGCCTCCAGATTAAAAACAGAATTCAGGAAATGATTCTTTTCTTCTTCTTTGCCAACTGAATTCCTTTTTGAAACCAGCTGTCAGCAAATTTACCTATACCTTCTCAGGATAGGGTGGAGGGACAATATCCAGGGAGTTAGCAAGGGGCTGGGAGAGCCAGAAGTTAAATCTCCGGAGACCTTGGAGGGCCCCTAAGAAAGGCTGAAGCAAACTGTCAAATAGTCTTTCAGATGTAAAACCTGCCCAGTGAACTGGCCAAAGGAATCTATTACCATAGGATTTGCACAAGCCCTCTTCCCTGGGTGAAAGGTAAGAAGGATTTTATTATGAATTTAGTGAGATAGGGGCTGGGGAGTCACTAGGGGAGGGGTTAGGAAGGGGTAGGGCCTGACAGGCAGGTGCGGGGTTCTCTTTCACTGCAAGTTCCCTGAGGGGAGGGGAAGAAGCCCTGCTTCTTGTGTCTGCCCTGAGGTGCACACTGTGTGCAGACACTAAAGAACCCTGCCTCCCCACTTGTTCCCTGCAGTGGGCTCCTGATATTATACCAAATGAGGAAACTAAGAAGTTCAGCAGTTTGCTCAAGGTCACACAATTAATAAGCCGTTGAAGCAGAATTTAAATGCAGGTGTGACTGATATCAGAGCTTCTGCTTTGGTCCACTGCCACACACCCTCTCACGAAGGGGTTTCTACACTGCACACATCTTTAAAGGCCCATTTAGTTAGGGTATGAAGGGTCATTGTTCAAAGATTCAAGCCAAATCTTCAAGGGAATATAGGGGGATTTTTATTTTAAGATTATATACAATACAATATATGTGTACCATATATAATGTTGTCACTTTAATTTTAAAATACTTTGAGCCATGTAAACATAAAAGCATGCCACAAAACACAAAGGGCTCCGTGGTTTCCTGTTCTGTTCCCAGGCAGGGTTCTGAGACTTTCACTTGTCTTGGCAAGACTGGTTTCTCAGCTTAGGCTTGCAGCAAGAAATTCAGAATGTGGCAGGTTTAGTGCTGGTATTCCAGATATGCAACCACAGGTACAGCAGGGACAAAAGCAATCAGAACGGTAGGCCAGAATCAGGGAGAGCCAGTGTTGCACCCCACGCCCATTCCCAAGTTGAGGCCCTAACTCTGTACCTCAGAATGAGGCTGTCTCTGGGGATAGGGCCTTTAAAGAGCTAGTTAATTGAAAATGAAGGCCTTAGAATGAACCCAAATCTGATCTGATGCTGTCCTTACAAATACAGAGAATGCGGACACAGAAGAACATCAGGGGCTCTGGTAGAGGGATGATTGAGAAGAAGCAGCAAGAAGATAACAGTCCACAAGCCAAGGAGTGGGCCCACAGAGGAAATCATCCCTGCTGGAGCCTTGATGTTGGACTCCCAGCCTCCAGAACTTCTTCAGCTACCCAGCCTGTGGTGTTTGCTCTGGCACCGGAGCTGACTAATTCAGCCAGGGAGCACCGATGGTAGCCAGGGCATCAGTAGGAGGACTTGGCAGGATTAGAAAGAGCAGCTATGTCCAAGCAGGAGGGAGTGACTTCAATATTTTAATGACTTCTATTCTGGGGCATCCCGCTGAATCAGCCCTGAGCAAGTGTGACATAAATCACAGGAAGGAAAGATGGGCAGAACCTGTGCAGAAGAGACTTTGCAGAGTAACCAGAGACCTGTGTGGCATTGTTAGAGGCAGGTGTAGGAGGTGTGAACATTAGATCTTCCAAAGAGTCCCCAAGGGCTCATATGACTTATGGGAGGAAGCACGAAGACTTCCTGGTGAAAGTGGCAGGTTGAGTACATAGTCTAGTTTAGTTTCCTGAACCATCCATTAAAACTACAGAAGAAGAACTTTTGCTTGTTTGTTTCTAAAGCACAATCTAATAAAGACAGGGAGAATGGGAGCAGAGATAACAGCAGCATTTGAGCAGCTGACAGAAGCTGACAAAAGACTAGAAAGCAGATCTTTAGTCAGTGGTGGAGAAAGCTGAGAGCCATCACAGCCATTTTCACTGTGGAATCTATGAATAGTTCAGGAATTAGCACTCCAGGTGTTGAATCTCTGGAGCTCAGGATGAGGAGCAATTAGATGCCCCAGAACCCCTACCTGGCTTTACATTTTTGGGAGACTGTGCTCCTATCATACATACAACTTTGCAGAAACTGGAGAATTATCTGTGGAAGAGAGGAGGGTAAGTAAGTGTTGAGCAGAGTTCCTCTGGATTGAAAGGCACTGGGCACAGTTGCAGTAGGGCACCACTCGGAATATCAGGATGCAAAGTAAAATCTGCACACAGAAAGCAGAGACCAGCCCCACAGTCAGATCCAAATCACAGACTCTTTTAGGCTCCTATTGCTCCTGTCGTTAGCACCAGTTTGATGGCTTAAAACAACAGAACTTTATTATCTTACAGTTCTGGAAGTCAGAAATTCAAAATCAGTTTCAATTGGCTAACATCAGGGCATCGGCAGGGCTATATTCTTCAATATCTTGTGCAGGCTACCCACATTCCTAGGCTCACACTTCTTATTCCAACCTTTGTTTCAGTAGTTATATTGCCTTCTTTGTTTTTTTTTGTTTGTTTGTTTGTTTATTTGTTTGTTTTTGGTACTGGGAATCGATCTTGGGTCCTTGCACTTGAGAGGCAGGCAGTGACAGCACTGAGCTAAATCCATGGCCCTATATTGCTTTCTTTAACTTTGAGCCTCTTACCTAGGTTTTGTCAGGACCTTTATGCCTTTGTGACTACAGTGGGTCTACCAGATGGCTCAAGAAAATCTAGCCTGACAATTGTTTCCTTTGGAGAAGCCACGCATGGGTAGCTCATTAGGGACTGTGATGCTGCTGCTTGGGTCTGAGGTTTGCTTAGACTCATTTGCCTACTTGCTGGGGTGGGGCACCCATCTCCTTGGCCAACAAATGGAACTGGGCACTGTCCATCCTCAGGATTACCCCCTACACAAGAGGCTTCCCCAAGTCTCCATTCTGCGTTGTCCAGCCCTTTTCCTTGAGCCCCTGATGCTGGTGCCCACAGGCAGGTGAGGGGTGATAACACAGCCCAGGACACTTCATGCCAGAGCTTCTTGGCACAGAACATGATTGCCTTTCTGTATTGATAGCCTCTTGTTCTCATCTCCAAAACTAAAAATTAAGACCTGAAGATGAGGCTAAGCAAATCAAGAGACTTAACCTGGAATTGCCTGGCCATAACTTTACCTTTTGCCATCCTCCCAAAAAGTACATTTGAATACAACAGAACAAGAGCAACAATTATACAGGTGTGAATGTTGGATCTTAATTTAACAAGTTAATCATTAGCAAACACCAATCAGATGTTGTTATGTGTTATTGTTAGTAAGTGTTCCTTATACATACTCCATTGATGATCATGACATACCAGTTTCACTGGTGGGTTATGACTGGCTTATCAGCAGACACTAAAACCCTCTTCCTTTTTGTTATACTCCATGATGTCTCCAGAAAAAATACCCATCACTTGGAGAGAGGGTGGGAGTGGTAGAATGAGATTCAAAACTACTAGTGGAGATCACTTTCAAGGAACATTTACTCTACACTTGCCATAGAGCAGATACTGAGCTTAAGCTTTAAAATACTCCATCTGATTAACCAGATGACTAGGAAAACTGAAGTGATTATTACAAAGCATAGCTACTAATAAACTATGATCCTGAATGGGTTCCTCAGACACCCCTCCTTATTCTGAACTTGTAAAGTGCAATAAGTCTAACAGGTAGAGGAACTTATATTTAGTCCTGAATTAATTCTAAAATGTCTCACAAGTGTTGCTGCTGAAATTATTGTTCTTGGAACAGCCCTTTCCAAGTTTAAAAGCCTTTCCAATACATTATGTAACTCCATCCTCTCAGCATTCCTGGGAGGTAGTGTGGGATTAGAACTCTTCTGGCATTTTTTGGCAGTGCCATCAGAAAGAGGAGAGTATGGTGTCAAGTTAGTGCCATTGGAATTTTGAATCAACCAGGAATGAGTTGAGTTTTCCAGTGTGAAATTTGTCCTTGAAAAAATGTTCTATATTTTGGTACTAAAACAGAAGGAGAGTTGGTCTGTTCTCTGCCAATTTAGAGCTCCCTACAAAGAACTGTGCTTTGCTTAGTATCCCCAGAGATTGTCTAGTATCCTGGAAAAGAGGAAGTGCTCATTGACTGACTGACTGATTAGATGAATGGGGAAGGTACAGGATATTGGCCTGGTGCATAGGAAATTAAGATCACAAAGATCTGTGTGTCCTCAATGTGACAAATACAAGCTAAGAAATTTCCAACATAAAACTGGAATTGTATGGAAAGACAATAAATTAAATATATATGTAATTTAAAAATATGAGCATATGTTTAATTACAATCAAAAAGAACAAATGAGAAGCTTATGTCTAAGTTGATATTTGTTTTTTGGTACTGGGGATTGAACTTGGGTCTTTGCACTTGCAAGACAGGTTGCAGAACCACTGAGCTAAATCCCTGGCATTGTTGATGTTTTTGATGAGTTTATATTTCTTCATTATGCCTTTTGACACTTGAAGTTTTTAAAAGGAAAGAAATCCTGAGAATAAGCTTTGTAAATTAAACAAAAACCAAAATTTTCCTTTTTATTAAACTTCAATATCCTTCTTACACAACCAAAGACAGGAATTAGCTATTATTAATGAAATGTTCAAGCATGACATGACCAATAGGGTCAACATCCTAAACTATGGAGAACCAGGGGCCCCTTCATCTGATTGACATTAGCAACCATATAGCAAACAATAGCAATATGTCCTTGTACTAAACAGGACTGTACCTGGAGCTGTTGGTAGAAGATATAAATGTGAAACTTTTTATGGTCCATATATACTTTTTATCTAATAAATGGCCCTATGTATAATTCAATTTTATGGGCGATGACGAGATAGCTTTTTAACAAAATACTTCTTCAGGCCTCTAAGCCCAAGTTGTAAAAAAACAATGTTGGTTCTAGGTTTCTTGATGGAGACACACCTTTACCATTTCAGCTGAGATGCAGAGATAATCCCAAATTTTCTGGGGTCAAATCAGGTGAACATACTGAGCCAACTGGGAAACAATGGTTCCTGACTCAGCCATGGAGAAACAGGAGCTGATCTGAAGATTCCCATGGAGATTCCCAGGAGAACTTCAGAAATGAGGCCCCTGAACATTATACTCAAAGAGGGGATAGATGGAGCCTTGAGAGGCAGTGAAAGCCTGGGAATTTGCTTTGGGCTTGGAGGAGAATTGCCCAAGTAATATCCACATTTGTGTAGCATTTAATAAATGGGGGGCTCTGATCATATTCTATAAATTTGCAATACTGCTATCCTCTTAAGAAGATATCAGCGCTATTATTATCCTTTTGAGGGTGAGAAACTCTCTTTGGGGACATGAGCTTCTCATTTTATGAATCAGTATATTATATTTATATAATAATATCTTTGAAATCAATCCTTTTTACTATCAAGGACCCCCTTTTCATTATTTTCCCCATAGGATCCAATTTTTCAAGACTTTGCCTACTTAACCAACAAGATTGGGAAGCCTAGTATTAATAAGCTTATGCAGTGAGTACTGGAGGCAGCCACATTATTGGCCAGGCACATTGGCCTTTGAAGTGCAATCCTATCCCAATTGCAGAGATAATCCCAATAATAATTCAAATTGTACTTACTGTAACCATTTTCTTGTAGGTTACTAGGTTACTATGTGCCACATGCTTTAAGTGCATTATCTAATTTAACCCTTTCTGCAAAGTAGGAAACATGTCATTACTTATCTGTTTTACAGATCAAGAAACATACTGTGGGCATTTAGTAGTTTGTCTAAGTTTACATGGACAGTAAGTTTCAGAGAAGGGTCTAACTCAGGTCTGTTTCACTACACATCTGAAGCCCTTAACCACTAGATTCAACTGCCTCTCAATTACAGTAAAATCATGTTACTTGCCTAAGGCTTAAATTCTAAAGTCAAGAAAGTTGCAGAGGGTTGTCCTTGTCTCCCAAAATCCCCTAAAGCCATCAGTGTGACAAGATGCTCACACTATAACTGAGACCAAATACTGTACAGAAAAACATCAAGTAGACCACTTCACACCTGCTCCAGGCACACCTTGTGGGCTGCAAAGTGGGCTGAATTGCTGGCCTATTTAAAAATCTTTATTTTATATACTATTTTTCTTTTACACATTCTCTGCTCTTTCTTTGCTGAATGACTTCTGTTGAAACTGCTTGCATTAGTTTCCTACTGGAGTTATAACAAATTTCCACACATTTAAAGACATGAAACAATGTAAATTTATCACCTTAGGATTTTGGAGATCACTAGATCTCACTGGGCTAAAATCAAGGTGTGGGTGAGGGTTGGGATACTTTGGGAAGCTTTAAGGGAGAATCCATTTCCCATGTTTTCCCAGCTTGGGGAGGCTGCTGACATTCCTTGGCTTGTGCACCCTTCCAGATACCAGGGCAGTAACTTTAGGTACCTCTGTTCCTTGCCTCTCTTCTCTTTGACTCTGACTCTTCTGCCTCCCTCTTTCATTATAACACCCTCATGATCACATCAGGCCTACCTGGATAACCCAGGTCTACTCTCTCCATCTCAGGATCCTTAATTTAATTGCATCTGCAAAGACTCTTTGCCATGAAAGATAACGTACAGATAGGGCTGGATATGAGGACGCAATGTCTTCAGGGCCCTTTTCTGCTTATCACAACGCTTAAGTTAAATGCATCCACACTGGGATTCCATGACATTAAAAATATGGTCTGTGTAAAAGCTTCTAAGTGACCTGTGCTCCCTTTGTTAGGGTCGCAGGTCACTTTGTCAATGGATTCTTAGGATCCCACACAGTTTTGTAGTAGGTACTCAATAAACGTCTTTTGCATAAATAAACAAATGAGGGAATAAATGAACATCTTTTTTCTGTCTTGTTTTATATGGACTTTTCTTTTTAAGAAATCTCAGAACTACAGAGAATAATATAACACATACCTGTCACACACTGCCCAACACTATGTTTAACATTATGATTTATTAACACATTCTTTCTTTAGAAAATAAAATACTCCTTGTGAGATTATATTTAAATCACATCAATTCATGAGCCATTTTTTGACTCTGTTCTGCTCAGTTTTAGGCTATTGTGTAACAGAGGTTCCCAAAGGACTGATCCTGTCTTTGTTTCTGCTCAAAATCTTTGGAGCCAGGCTTGGAGATGCACACACGTAATCTCAGCTACTAGGGAGGATACTAGGAGAGGCAAGTTCAAATATAGCCTGGG